CTACCAATCAATCACACTCATCTTCACCAATTACTTTTCTGGCTCAAAAATAAATATTTTTCTTTAGTCTTCATTTATCTTTATCGGGCTTAAAACAAACCCCTACATTCCTCAGACCATACTTGTCCCATATTGGGAACTAACACCCTTTCTAACTTGTTCTCAAAACTTGTTCATCGTTGGCTTCACACCAACATACCGTCGTATCATCATCAACTCTTATTGAATCTCTATATCACCTTACGATTAACCTTCTGCTCTGAAAAACTTCACACCAATCTTCCACTCTGATCTTCAGGACCAACCACAAGCTCTAACCCCACCATCGGCTCTGATAACAGTTGTTGGGGGAAATTAACTCCCTCCAATGCATTCAACGGTTAGTTGTTGTTGAGAGTTAAATCCCTGATTCATTACACACAGCGAAATCATCATCATTATCACATCATCATACAAGCATATATGAATATAACAATCATACGCATTTATGCATAACACAATATTTTACATGGTTCACCCAACTCTAGGGTTATGTCTATGGAGAGAGAGATTTCACTATTATGAATCAAGGAAGAAAATATACAACCAAATGTTAATACCCCACTCACTCACTCATCATCTCTTTTGAGGTTGCATATATTTACTCGGGAATTACTTATATTCTCCCTTCTTCTCACAACACTCACCCTTAAACCTCTTATATCTTTTCTCTCTCTTCTTTCTCTCTTTAAATCTATCGCACCTCTATTTATTTATAGAGTCTTCAAACCCGATTCCTTGTTGGACAAGAATTCATTATCTTTTCTACCAAGGAGTTACTATATTAATTATAACTCTACAATAGTAAGCATAACTTCTTTCTCAAATCTTTAGCCTTTTCCCATGTCTTCTGACTTTCAAAACTAATTAGGAAATTATTTATCGCATATATCAGGCACTTAGGATTGATCCAAGGAAAGTTGGACTGGACCAACACACCTGGGGAACTAAACGTGAGTAGTTTTTTTGGCTACTGAAAAAGTTGGACCGGTTCAACTTTTTCAGTAGCCAAAAAAACTATTCTCACGTTTAGTTTCCCAGGTGTGTTGGACCGGTCTAGAAAAGTTTGACCAGTCCAACTCTTCCAGAGCACGTACTATACCAGAGCACGTACTATACCAATATTTCAAGCCACAAAACCCAATAGGTTGGTATCTCCACGCACCTAATATTTTTCTCAAGTACCTAGCTATAACAGGTTTCTAACTTGAGAAAGTCTTTATTTACTTCAAAATTATTAATTACTATTCAACTAATTTAAAAATAAGATGACAAAGATAAATAATACTAGGATACTATTGTTTAAAAATAAATACAAGAAAAAAAATAAATTATCAATCCAAACAATAAAAGAGAACATGTTTGTTGATCGAGTCTAAAATTAGATTTTTGCCCTTAAGACAAATTTATCTCTGTTTGGTGTTGAACTGACGCTAATGGTAATTGTCTCGTAGAATACAATGATCTTTCTTCCACTAATAGAGAATTTCAAACCAGAGGAAACAATAAAACAGACTTTGTATTTATATTTTCTCTTAGAGCAAAGGGGAAGAAAGAACTCTGAATGAATCAATGAGAATGGTTACCAATGGGGTATTTATTAAGAAAATAGTGTTTGTTCGAGACAAGAATGATATTGAGAAAATACCCCTCTGAGTGACAAAAAAAAAAATTTAAATTAGCAAAATAACATTCTTCTATATATAATTTTTTTAAAAGAAATGACAACGGTGGCGGAAGGTGGTAGTGGTGTTGGAAGAAGGCGATAGCGGTGGTGGTGGAGGTGGAAGGCGTTAGTGGTGCAGGTGATGATGGAAGGTAGTGGTGGAAAGCGGCAGTGGTGTAGTGGAAGAAAGTGAAGGTGACAATGGTGGTGGTGGTGGAAGGCATTGGAGGTAGGGTAAGTGGTGGCGGAAGTCGGTGGAGGTGGTGGAAAGTGGTTGTTGTGACAATAGAGGTAGCGTTAGTGGTGGAGGTGGTGGCGGCGGTGTGTTGGTGATGGAAGGCGACGACAGTGGTAGTGGAGTTGACAGTGGTGGTGGAAGGCATTGGCGGTGATAGAAGTCAGTTATAGTGGTGAAAGGTGGCAGTGGTGGAATGCAGTGGTGGTGACGGGGGCGGCAGTGGTACATGGCGATAATGGTGATGGTGGAGGAAGGCAATGAAGGTGGCGGTACCGGTGGTCGAAGGTAATAGTGGTGGAAGACGTTAATAGTGGTAGAAGTCTGGTGGTGGTGGTGGCGACGGTGGAAGTAGTGGTAGTGGAAGGTAGTAGAGGCCGTGGTGGTGTGGTGGTTAAAGGCGGCAACAATGGTGGCAATGACAGTGACTGTAGTGAAAGACAACGGAGGCGGCGATGATTGTGGTAGTGATGGAAAGTAGTGGTGGAAGTCGGTGGTGGTGTCGATATTGGACTTTGAATATGAGGATTTTTGAGGAACTTGATTTTTTTTTTTTTTTTAAATTATTTGAAAATGAAATAATCATTTTATAGGTTTAATTGTGAAATGAATTTTTCATAGCATTGGTCTTAAGTGTCTTTGACCTGAACGCCCGTTGCATATATGTAATTTTTTTTTTCCTGTCAATGACATTGCATATATGTATTGAAAATTATATATTCGGAATAATTTAAATTATGGATGAGTGATATGATGATGTTAATACTTTAAAAAACTTTGGTTAGTGGTTATGTATATTTATAATCAAACATTAATAAATTATGAAGCTTTCCAGCTCAGAACAAAATAATTAAATTGGGAGTGGGGTATGGTATGGAATTATCATCAACTTGTCTTAAAGGATAAGGGTGCAGCTAATAAATTAATTAATTCTTTTTGGTTGTACCTGCCTTGTGTCCCACCTTCCATTATCTCCTGTTATTTTGAGTATTTTATTTTGGGTAGATTGAACATGCTTCTGGAACATGCTGATAATATGATAATATACAGACAGACTTGGGTGGATTGAACATGCTGATGCCTTGAGAGGTAAGCATTATAATATCTAGATCTGAAAATTGGGTGACGAAATAGCAATTAAAGTGAGATTCCTCACGTGCTTGGTCAATATTCCTCGACAAATTACACTGAAGTCTGTTGTTAAATTTGTAATTACATTTCAGTTGCTATATATATATATATATATTGTATTTTATTGGGTCAAGTGCGTAAAATATTCCTAAAATATACTTACAGTATATATCACACTCCTCACATCTAAAAAAAATATCCATAATATTTCAATTTGATGTAAATAGATCCATTTAACAAATTTAAATCCTAACTTAACTAAATTACCTTTATTAAACCATTTTATAAAACATATAAAAATAAATAATTTTGTAAAATGACCGAAAAATACATTATTGGAGGACGTCTCTAGTGTGCAAAACACACCCATAAAGTTTCAATTTAGTGCAAATAGGTCTCTTTGACAAATTTTAGCCCTAAGTTGATTAAATTATCCTTACTGAACCATTTTATAAAATATATAAATAAATAAATAAAATGACCGAAAATGACACTATTAGAAGACGCCGGCAATGGACAAGTAAATATAAAAATAGAAAATAAAAATAAAAGTATAAAAGAAAAGTAAGGATAAAAATAAAAAATAAAAAACGAAAATAAAGTGCAAACTAAATAAAACAAATCTGCTCCAAACTCTAAAAATTAGTGCACACCGATACTAAGATTTTTTTTCCTTTTTATTTATTATTATTATTATTATTTTTGTTTAATAGTATTGGTATGGAAAAAAAAAACAGGCTTTCTGGGAAGGAATTGATACCAATGGGGAAAGGAAATTGAAGTATACAACTATATAAGCAAATATAAATGTGTGATGTGATCAATGCCAAACAATTGCAGCGGGAAGACGTTCTCCTCCCTCCTTTCGCCGCTCTTTCAATAGGGATAGTCGAAGGCACCATAAACTGAAATTTTAAAAAATTCAAATTTTTATTCTATAAATTCTCAAAGTTTAATAAAATAAAAAGTTTATAGATATATATAGAGAAAAGAGTTTCAAAAAATATATATGTAAGGTAATGTACACATAATATCCCTATACTATGACATTAGTAGCATATATACCCCCTTAAGTATTTTCGAAAGAATAAAAAGGCAAAACGAATATTATAGCACTAATTTATATCAAATTTCTGATTAAAATATATTTTTACGTGAAAAGATTAGAGATATTTTTTTACACACTTTTTTAAATATATGTTTTCTCCACTTATCCCTATTTTATTACTATAACAAACATGTTTTTGCAGAATTAAAAATTGAACCTTACAAAAGTGTTGACATCAGCATAGCAATTTTTGTCGTTAATCGTCTTTACCATTAACAAATTAAATATACGTTTTATTTACATACAAATAGTAAAGTAATAAATTTTGGTAGTTGCCGAATTTTAATTCTATTGTCTGAACATGTACACCTGTGTTTAAATTTAATTAAAGACACTTTCAATATGTTGAGCACCTTTATGGTTTTTTTTTATCAGCAGACTCAGAAGATATTCGTAGTCAGTCCGAATTTGGAGTGGACCCATTGGTCTGTGAAAATAGGGTGGATGGGTCTGGAATTATCTAGAGAACAGCACACACCAGGTGCTCTGATGAATTCTGTAGTCTAATCACAAAAACACGCATCGTCTTTAATTACAAAGTCAAAAAAGATACTAAATTAAATCACATGATTTTGTAATTAACGACGAGCATATGTGAACGTCATAAAATATGACAAAAAAAAACAATTGAAGTCTTCAAATCTTTTAACCAGACGCAGAGATTTATTGAAGAGAAAAAGAAGAATCCATATTGTGGTGTGTGTGTGAGAGAGAATGTGAGGGATCATCAAAATAATACCATTTCCTGTAACCAACAGATTGGAAACGTGTGTGAGAGATAGAGAGAATGTGTGAAGCAAAATGGAGTGAAGAGAGTGAGATTAAGCTCGAGGGGTCTGTGTGTGTGTGACACACACACCGAGAGAGATATGATCGACATTACTAGAAGCTGTTTTTCATTATTATGGCTTTGCCAATCCTTTGAAACAAGAAAAACGTACGACTCTTCACCAAAAAGAGTCTCACCTGCGAGCAACTCTTTGTCCCACACCAAGGAACAAGGTTTTCGCGATCACTCCTGTTTGGAGTCCAAAGAGCAGAGCCACAGTCCCACCTATAACCATCCACTTCAAATCGATGCCAGCATGATCTTTGTTCCTCTGAAAAGCCTCCGTCTGTCCGCTTTCTTCTTCACCTGTTCCATCTAACGAGATCCTTGTGGTGATTCTTGCCATTAGTGAACTTCTGGACAATGAAGCCTCAGATATCCTTGCGTCCTGATACACTCTGAAGCCGGAGTGTAACTTCTTGACAGTTCCCCACATCCCATGACGGACACCCAACTTCGCCACATCCTTCGCGATCCCCATGTCTTCATAATGTACAAGAGTCACCTCGCATGCGGATGGCTGTCCTTCATGAGTTTGCACTACATTCATTTTCCAAACAATAAACCAATCAAAATACCAAATAACTAGCATTCTAGCTAAGGTTGTCCGCAAACGTGTTGCGTGCATAATGTGACATTCGCTTACCAGGCTTGATAACCCAGCTTGAAAAATAAAGATTTACACGCATCAGCTTGTCACTTCTCTGTAAAACGGGATATGGCACCCCCTTCAATATCAGAAATAGCATGTCAATACCCATTTTCCATATGCTAACACTTTTAAATGATATGTTCGATGAAAGTGAACAAGAAAAAAACAACGCAACGTATCAAAGTTGTAAAAATTGGATTTCCAAAGAAAAATCCAACAAAATAGCAAGATAGATAAAGGGACATTACCCTGTACCAGTCCCGCTACGGCAGGGTTCTGAAGAGGGAGGAGGGGACGAAGGAGTCAGACCAAACATTTGGTATTTCACAAGGTGGCTGCTCTAAGTCTGGAACTCACACCAAGACACCGATGTTCAAGCGTTAAACCGCTGAACAAGGCAATGTCCCTCAGAAAATAGCAAGTTAGGTTTGCGTAACAAAAGTAATGCAGTTGAGGCAAATCTATAAATTATTGTAATTCTGCAATTGGCCCTCCACTATGGGAAATCAACCTGAGTACCATACGTAGCGCACTCATCTCTTAACTATAAGGGAAAAGACCGACATAAATGACCACATGTTTGGAAACCAATCTTCATAAGATATAATCTTTGGTATAGATTGGTATGGTCCCAATCAGTTTGTAGTTTTAATTACTTTATCTAGGCTAAGTTGCCAAAAATGCAAATAATTCATCATGATCTTTAATTTGTGCCAAGCATTAAATAAAATAAGATCCAGTGGAATGAAAAGTTTATCATCATAAATCATTTCAACCATCACAGGGTTTAATACTCGTAGCAATCATGAGGAAAGCGAAACAGTTACGAAGAGAAAATTTATCATGAATGTGCCAAAGAAGAAAATCTGAGCAATCCTAATTATGAATGTCAAGAAGGCAATTCTATAACACTGCATTCTCAGATGAAGTCTATAACTTATATGAATATCAAGGGATGAGGCACGTGAGTTTTCAACTACTTTCGTCTTATTTCTTCTCTTCAATTTGGGTTTGAACAGAAGTTCATAGTTGACAACCAAGAATCACTCGCGTTCTTTTAGGGCTTTCCATTTATCAATGCTTTTATTTCCACTGTAATTCAAACCTCTACCTAAGACACTATAGAAGTTATTTTGGAGGAAAAAGAGAAGCTACAAACTGTAAAATATGCTTATTGCTTAATCCTTTACTACCTTCGTCACACAATAATACATTTGTCCAGCTTCCCATATTCTTCGGCCAATGATATATTCTCGAGCACTGCAGAAAAAAGGAAACTGCATATAGGAGGAACAAATGAAGGTATCAATTCATGGAATGTCTGAACAAGTCAAAAGATAAACTTACTGATCCAAATCGTATCTTTAACAAACCTTTTTTATCCAGTGGACTATCATTGTCCCTGTTTGAGGGAATTCCACCAATATCTTAAAGTAAGAAAGCATAGGATCCCATTTAGATCGAAAGTCATCATCCCAGAAGAAATCTCTAACCAGCTCTGGAGATGCATCATCAAAAACAGTTCTGCTACGATACACAATGGGGCCAGTCTGATGAACAAGATACATTATCAGGCTCTAATGCATACAATCTGAATAACAATGAGAATGCAGGGAAGACCTGGTTCTTTTATATACCTAAAAGTCTTAAAAAGAAAAAAACCTGAACATGATTATCAATGTGTTTCCAAAATATATGTTATGCATATGATAGAGAAAAACCATGCTAGGCACCCAGGTCATCAGGCCGGCAGATGAAGATACAGATGAAAATATACGCCCATCTGTGAGCCAATTCCCCAAACGTGGCAGAGTGTTTTCCACATTCCATAATGGATACTTTGGTTATGTTATTTTGCAAATTCCAACTAAAAAAAGAAAGAAAGAAAGACGAAAAATTTCAATAAGATCTCATAATAAGTCGGTCTATCAAATTATAAAATCTAATGAAAGGTAAATAACCTGCATTGGCATGAATAAAGTTACATAGGAGCAGTTATTTTCCCAGATTTAAGTAGTCTAATGACTCTAACCTCCAAAACTAGTGACCAGAGAATAAAATTTTCGATTTAAGCCCCAATGCAAATTTGAAATGTATGTATTTCCCAAACAGGAACTCCACTCGTTTTAACAAATGCATGAACAAAACGAACAGATTTAGAAAATAAACCCAGAAATTTAGCTAGGTGACAAGCTTGTCACATGTTAGTCTGGCTGCAGCCATGGGGAACAAATATGCTATATAGCTATAACCACATCCATGACGCTTCTTGCTTGACAAAGCACTTCTGTCCATTACAAATTTAAGTCTCCAATTAATATGAAGTACCATTTGCCGACACTTATTCACACTTTCTTTAGCATTTGAAAGACGAGTACATGCATCAAAGTAAGACTGTAAGGGTCAAAATCTGTGCAATAACTTTTATCTATTAAGGATCAAAGTCTGTGCAATAACTTGTATTTCTTACGTAGGACTTTCTCAGCTCATGAAAGACCAAAGTGCTTAGTTATCATAGTTTGGACAAATTCTACCTCAGGTTCATGACACCAAGCTTGGTATGTCAAGTTAAAGGTAGAGCGTTCCATAATACTTTTCCATGTCATTTCCCCATTCTTGTCAAGAAAGTGTAACAGGTGTTCTAGATCATTTTCTGTGACAATATGTTGGTCTGTCTCCGAGTTTCCAATGTTGGGCCTGCAGAGAAAAAGTGGAAATAAAATATAATATATCCTAAAACATAAAAGACCAAAGTTTGAAATTCCAATATTATGATGGAGGTAACTAGGAAAAAAAAAAATATTATGATGGAGGTAGCCAAATGCAATTTGCATAAATGTTTCTACAAAATCTGAAAATTCAACAAATAAATTAACAAACAAAGAGAAGACAATATGAACAAGGGACTAAATTTGATTCTGATAGCAATTAGATAACTCAGTCAGTAGAAACTAGAGCAGATGTCCAAACAGAGTTATCTTTCCTAAAGATTTGTTATTCAAATATGTGAGACTTAAACTTGACAGAAATTATTTATTATCAATTGATTATTTAGTAAGAACCAACATACAGCATTCCCCATGCAAAATAAGCTCTCACACGTCTTGACTATGGTATGAATTGAACCGGTAACCGTATTACTCACTTTTAGATGTCATGCCAAAAAATCTTCCTCGTTTCCAATTTTCTCTCTTTCCATTTTCATCATTCTTCTCCTATATAGAGGAGCATCCACCATTGTATTGTGTATGAGTAGACATAATATAATAAAAGTGATGTAGCCCTATGGGCTATGTGTGTTATGCATGTAAGCCCTAGTGGCTGAACCACGTAATAGTTGTGTGTTCTACTAGTTTAATTTCTCTCTAAACATATGTTTTATGCTTTACAACATGGTATTAGAGCCTAATTTATCTTCCTAGGTTCGGACTTATTTTGGGGTATTCCCTTAGCATCTAAAATGTTGCTAAGGGTTTCTCGGTGCTATTTGTGACTTATTTGGGCTGCCGGTGTGTTCAGCAGCATTGTTCTTCGCCTTTGCCGTGTCTCCGAGAGTTTGTATTCACTTGTTTGGGCTGCCGGTGTGTTCAATAGCATTGTTCTTCGCCTTTGCCGTGTCTCCAAGAGTTTGTGTGCACTTGTTTGGGCTGCCAGTGTGTTCAGTGTCATTGTCTTCACCTTTGCCTTGTCTCTAACAACTTTTATTGACTTGTTTGGCGGTGTGTTAAGTAGCATTGTTCTTTGCCTTTTCCGTGTCTCTTCTGGCAATTTTTGTTGACTTGTTTGGGCTACCGTTGTGTTCAATAGCATTGTTCTTCGCCTTCTCTCTTCTCTCTTCATCATTCGCATTGGCTACTACTCATCATCTCAATGGCAAATTGGGCATTCATGCTCCAACTTAAGGGGGAATACTGAAGATTTAATGGAGGAATCAGTTGAGGAAAATCCTCCAGTGATGTAGTTTCCTATTATTGACGATTGTAGTTTCCTATTATTGAAGATTTGTTGTTACTGGAGGAATCAGCGGAGAAAAATCTTCGTTGTTTCCTATTTTCTATCTCTTTCCATTCTCATCATTTCTTCTCCTATATAGAGGAGCCTCCACCATTGTATTGTGTATGAGTAGAGAGAATATAATAAAAGTAATGTAGCCCTTTGGCCTTCGTGTGCCGTGGATGTAAGGCTGCATCACGTAATAGTTGTGTGTTCTACTCATTTAATTTCATTCTTCAAAATGCTTTACAACATTACTAACTAAGCCCTAATTCAAAGAAAACCCTAATACTCAGTCTAAAAGACCCCTACTCCCGATCTCTTCCATATATGGTTCCTATAAGTTACAAGTTTACTTGAAAGGGTTGACAACCCAAAGAGGCTTCTATTGCAAACATTCTTTAGCAAGGTCACCACTCACCTCAGCCTATCTATCCTTATGGACGAGAGTCACTACCGGTTTGCGTGCCCAACCTAACCCAAATACATCACAAGTCAACTGCTATACCCACATCATACACTTCGGATCGATATATAGTTCTATTCCTTTTTTTTTTATCTTTCTATCAAAATATAAATTATTTCAAAAAGAATTCACTCAATACCTATAAGCCCCGGGTTTTCCATACAATCTCAATTCATACAAGCAAATTTGTCCCACAGACCCCAGATCACAACACACAAGCAGGCCCATGGACCCAAATCCACACCATAACCGCTGGTCCCTTCACCCCCCAGTCACAACCTTATATACAAGTCAATCCCTCACACACAAGCCAGTCCTTGGGACCCCAATTAACACTTCAAACTCACAAGGAACCTCAATACCACAAAGTGTATATATTAAAGCCAACACAGTCAACAACACACCAAGCATTGATATGCAAATGCACAAACGAAGCGACACAATAGCTTGTTTCTGGAATTATATTTACCAAAAAATGCCAATTTCTGGAATTTTATTTACCAAAAAGGCCAATTTCTGGAATTGCAACCCAAAATCTAGGGACTCTACAGTCTGGAGGAGCATGCTTTCTGTAAGAGATATCTTGCTTGAACATTCAAAATTTAAGGTGAACAATGGAAGACACTTTAGCTTGTTTTTAGACCCCTGGTGCTATGGTTCCTCCTTAAATTAGTTTTGTCTAAAACAAGTACACTTTAGCCTGCAGGTGCTCCTGTTGTTGGTTGTCGTTGGGTTTTCACACAAACAGAATCCTGATGGCATTGTTTATCATTTAAAGGCTCGCCTTGTTGCTGAGGGTTTCACTCAGACCTATGGCATTAGACTTTCTCTCCTATGGCTAAGCTGAATTCCATTCACATCATTATCTCTTGCTACACATTTTAGCAGCCTTGCTACTTATGCGACAGCCACCTTAGTCTGTTTGTGACATCGTGTGACGTTGCCTACACATGTTTTTTTGTGTTGCTGTTTTGTGATCGAAAACAGGTATTTTTAAGTTTTACAATTTCTTTTTTACTCTTCTAGGTTTGCCTTGTTGCTGAGGGTCTCCAACACCTAGAAGGGCTTAGGTAAAAAAAAAATTTAATCTACAGAGAGGTTCCAGATATTAAGAAAGAAGTTGTCTAGCTATATGTAAGCGGGCAACGTTCCTTAAAAAAAAGTATGTATTTAGATTTTTCGAGAATGGACTAAGGAGAAATTGTTATTGTTTATGGTTTGAGGAGACCCTTTGATTTATTAACAGAATTTGTGGTGTTTATGGAATTTTTTATTGTCGTGTGACAGATTATGGCAGATTCAGGGTTCTCAACTGTTAATTCCCTTGGCTCAAGTTCTGTGGGTGGTGATGCCATTTTTCCAACTAACTCATCAAAAAATTCAAGACTTCAAATCACCACAGTGAAGTTGGATGGCTCCAACTATTTGATTTGGGCACAGTCTGCCAAGATGTTTATTGGTAGCAAAGGCAAGATTAGTTATATTACTGGTATTGAGAAGGAGCCAGCTGAGTCAGAGAAGGCATATCCACAGTGGTTTGCATATAACGCTATAGTTATGTCTTGGCTAATCAAATCTCTGCTACTATGGTAAGTTATTCCATAAATCGTGGCCATCATATATGCTAACATCTCTCTCGCTGCCAATCTTGACAGGCCTCTTCATCAGCTCGATGTCAAAAATGCTTTCCTTTACGGTGATCTTATTGAGACCGTGTACATAGCTCAACCACCTGGGTTTGATTCCAAGGGGGAATGTGTTTGTCTCCTCAGGAAGTCTATTTATTGCTCAATCAGTCACCTCGTGCATGATTTGATAAATTTAGCAAGGTGGTGATTGCTTATGGCATAAATAGAAGTCATGTTGATCATTCAGTTTTATTTAGAAAGACAGAATGTGGCATTGCGATTTTGGTGGTCTATGTGCATGATATTGTCGTTACTAGGAGTGACACGAAGGGAATTCAAACCTTGTTTTGTCATTTGGGTTCGAATTTTCTCACTAAGGATTTGGGCAAGCTTCGTTATTTTCTAGGTATTGAAGTCGTGAGATCAAAGAAAGGCATCTGTTCTCAGAGAAAATATACTAATCTTGGCTCTAAACCTGCAGCAACACCCATGGAGACTAATCTGAAATTATTGCCAGATGATGGTGACTTGGTTGATGATATAGAGAAGTACAGACAACTTATAGACAAGTTGATTTGCCAAACCATTACTCATCCAAACATTGCCTATGTAGTCAGTGTTGTGAGCCAATTTATGGCCAGCCCCCGAGTCCCTCACATTAATGTGGTTATACGCATTCTGAAGTATCTCAAAGGAGCTACAAGTCATGGTCTTCTCTATCAGTTGTCTGGACAGCTGCGCATCGAGGGTTACATTAATGCTGAATGGGAAGGTTCAGTCAACGACTAGTTACTGTACTTTCATAGGAGGCAATCTAGTAACTTGGAGAAGTAAGAGGCAGTCAGTTGTGGCACAGTCCAGTGCAAAAGCTGAGTACTGTGCAATGACTCATACTGCTTGTGAGCTAACTTGGTTGAAGACACTGTTACAAGCATTTGGGATTTCAATTCAAGACCATCTCTTCTCTATTGTGATAACCAAGCAGCTATTCGCATTGCCAGTAACCCAGTTTTCCAAAAGCAAACCAAGCACATTGGGGTTGATTGTCATTTCATTCATTCTAAGGTGACTTCCAAAGAAATTGTATTTCGTTCGTATTGTCTGGTAATCAGTAAGAAGATGTCTTTACTAAGGCCCTTCCAAAGCATGCCATCGATTCAATCTGCAACAAGCTGGGAGTTGTTGACATCTTCTACTCTCCAGCTTGAGGGGGAGTGTCATGAGTACAACTAAGGATTAGCTGCTTCTTAATTAGGGGTATAATTGGTGCTTTCCTTTTTTATGTTTTCCTTATCTATGTTTTCCTTATTTTGTGTTCATGAGTAATATATATTCCCACTGTATACATCCTTTCATAAGTGAAATAAAATATATTTAAGGATTTATATATTTAAGTTACACCCTCTCTAACAGCTTAAGATTTTGGAGTAGATGGTTGTTGACATAGTATCAGAGCCAAAGGTCTTGAGTTTAAACCTCACCGTCACCCTGATTAAAAAAATTAAAGAACACGTGTTGGACCAAAAGAAGGCCACACGTGAGGGGGCGTGTTGAAGGATTTATATATTTAAGTTACACCCTCTCTAACAGCTTAAGCTTTTGGAGTAGAT